TTATATGTGTAAAATAATATATGTGTAAAATAATATATGTGTAAAAATAATATATGTGTATAATATATGTGTAAAAAGGTAATAAATATATGTGTATATGTGTTCCACATATATACCTCTCTTAAGAGAATTAACTACAAACAGCTAATTACTTTAACTAGCCGCCACTATCTTATTTATTTTTCGTTGCCTTTCCCAAAACTTGCCTTATAGCGATTTAAGAATGGTAAAGATCAGATACGATCAATACACTGCTGTGGAATAATTGTTTCAGAAAATTCAGTCAAGCTAGGGAAATTAGATGTAATGAGTTCATTTAAAAATGTTAAGCATCTTTACCTTTACTTATAAATTATTGAACTTAGTTGTGCTTCTAATCCCTTCTGTGACCTAAATACATGATTATTTCTAAAAATACTCATGAAGTGCAGTTATATGAGTTACATAGTTATGTAAGGTTTGTATTGTCCTTGAATTCTTTAAAATTTTTGAAATTCCAATGTAAAATTTTCTGCTTAGCTGTTATACAACTCATCGATTAAGAGCAATGTGATATTTGTTACATAACTGTTGTAACTGCGCAGCAGTATCATGACTTCTTCCATCTCTTCGTACCACAAATTGCAGTTTGTTATGGAAGGAGAACAGCTGTATTATTACGAATCGAAGCTTTTTAAGACCAATTTTTTGAAATAATGAGAAATTTACTACGATGATTTTTTTTGGCCCTAATAGCATTTCCTCGCTAATACCGATAGCAGTGTTGGACCATGTTCTCTTGGCATAGCAGTGCCACGAACTAATTAATATATACAGTATCTCTCGTTCACAAATCCTTTGCATGATGTCAGTTGGCCTAAAACGATGCTATTGTAATGTAGTGGCGATAACTTTTCCACCAATTAATTAACTAACTTATTTGCCAGTTTCTTGTGCATCCGTAGTAAATATGAGGAAAATACAATTCTCCCCAACTTTATGCCAGTTAACGGTCACAGTTTTCTCACCTGAAACGAAAAAAAATGAAACACTACCAAGTAATAATAAGTATAACCTAAATTATTTACAAGTTCAGTAGTTCAGCTGGACTCTTATTTAATTTTATTTTTTGTTATATTACAATCGGTCATTTTGACCATATCTTCCTAACTTTGCAGGATACTGGCCCTCATGGGACAACTTCTTGAGCAAAAGTTTTGAATTCGTGTCCTTCCATACACTAATCCCAGGGATTGATACAAACACACCTACCGATTTATGCACAGCTCTTCGTACTGTATCCTGTGAGTTGAGGTATTGAGTTACTTCAAAAAGTTCCTTTTAATGTATGGATACTCATTAATTATACCTAATCAGGACGTGAAAAACGATCGATTAGAGAAACAAGATGAATTTCGAATACGCAATATAATCAGTCTTCAACTGATATTTGCAATAGTTCACGCCTCAAAAACTAATGCTGAAAATAATTTTTCTCTCTAATACATCAAAAACAGTCGATCTTTGAAAATGAACATGACATAAATCGATAGACAAGAAATAGGGGAACTTGACGAAAACCACTTTCACGCAAAACTTTAAGAAATTAAGGAGGAAAATGGTGTCTTACAGAAGCAAAATAGAAGGAAGTGAGTCTACATCACCTACTATTATACGTCTTCAAGTAATTTCGATTTAGTGCATTCACACCTTCTTTCCTTTGTAAAATAATGGGCTTTATACCATAACTGAAAACATGACAAGGGATTTTTGCAGCCTTTAGATGTTAGTGTTCAAGTCCAGTCTTTGTAGATTACGCGGTTCTCAGCGCTTTAATCTTTAGAAATTAGAAAATTCTAAATCCTGCAACATTCCCACAAACTATTTATCCTGAAGAGTTTAACAAGTAATACCCATGCTTCGAGAACTCGATTCTATGAAGCTACAACAAATGGTAATTATTCAGCGATCTGCTCACGTGGAAGTGTCTCTCTCACCAATGAATTTCGGGAAAAATGTTCCATTCGAAACAGTGAAGTCTACTGTAGTGCGTTTCGCACGAGTGACCACTAAGTTTTAACCTCTGATTCCATATAACGTCCACTGCCCGCGTGTAGCTGTTCATTACAGTTGTTATACGGTAAATGCTTTTATTAAATGCAACATTTAAATCAAAACAATGACAGGAAGTCACACATTTTGCCTGATTTCAACACCGGCTTCCGCATTGATTCCAATTTTCAGAATATTAATCAATCCTCATTACGAATTGAATCAACGGTTATTGGGCAACTAACATACAAGTATTTTAGAATAAAAACCATACGAAATACTTCTGGAAAACTGTTACGTCGAAACACTCTCAGACACCAAACTGTCTAGGAAGTAGGGAAATTTCCAAACACGTAAGGAAACAAATAAATTCAAAAAAAGGGAGAAAAAAACAGTTTTGGACACAAGTTGCAAAAATATTAGAAAAAGAACTGGACAAAGAAAACAATTTACGTGACCAAAAAATCCTTACAATTTTTTTCTTTTTAAATCACATATCACTAGAGAATAAAAAACAGCTAAATGAAGCTACAGCAATATGTGGACCAGAAACTAAAATTGGTACAAATAATGAATTTTTGCGCACCAACAATAAGCTTTCAAATAAAAAATTTAAAGAAATCCATTCTAGATTAGGAAGCTATCGACTCTTATTAGTGCCGAAAAACATAAAAAATTGAAAAGATATATCAAGTAAATGTTCGAAAAAAATCAACCCATTTAGCTCCGGAAGAAATTGGCAAACAGAAACAACTCCAAAAAGGATGAATGAGACACTTATTAAAAATCAAATCAACAAACTTAGAACCAAAACCTCAACAAACAATAGAGACAAGCTTGGTAAAGAGTTAAAATTCAAACACTACGTCAGCAGTTCTCTTTCGCAGTGGACCAGCGGATTCATTCTCATCTTTGGATAAAATTAACTTATATTTACGGAGGGCATACATACAAATAACATGAAAATTAAAATACTTGAAAGTAAAAGAGGAATAAATGTTCAACAATACATAAAAAACTGTGTGCCAAAGTTCCCTGCACGTCTCAGTTTCCTATGCAGGCTTACTCAAAATATTACAGCACAGTTTGCTATAACAAACTGTAACCCTTGTTATAACAAGGGTTACAATCAATGCTTACGCTTGGATGATTGCTTCACTTTGCGGCGAAAGATTAAATAAGAAATCCTAAAAAAAAGGAAGCAACGAAAAAGAGAATTCGAACACTGTTCAGCAACCGCCCGGTGTTTCAGACAGCTGCTGTTTCATCTTTCTGCTGAGTTGCATATAAAGGCTCAGTCGGCGTTTGCTGATATTTCTTCTTATAAGGAAACAAACTATACATGAAAATAGCTCCAATGACAAATACACTACCAACAAGAAACAGAACAGCTGGACGAAATTGAAAAAGCAATGCAGATGCGATGCAAGCTACAATGATGGCAATGGATGCGGCAAATGCCTTCAGAATATTATCGGCATATTTTATGACAACAGCAACAGTGATACCACCGATAGACGACAGAATTATCAGACACCATACCACAATATCAAAACCAACCAACATACCCCGTTCTAGCACCTTCCTTCTATCCTGTATCTGAAAATGCGAAAAATAGGTTCGGAAAATTTTCAAACAAAAATTGGAATTTTAACAAACTGTGCACGAAGGAAGTGCTACTACGGGTATTATACTATCATTTATTTTCAACACGGCAGCTAATAAGAAAATCAAATCCTTCTACATTTTCAGCAAAGCCGGAAAGTTAAGGAAACGGAAACCTACGAAAACATTAGCCAAAGCAACTGGGAGTGAGATAATCGCAAGTTGCACATTTCGTATCCATACTGCTACATCCGAGTCTTTCAATATTTTCTCCAAATATATGCCAGAAAATCCTGCAAAAATTCAGGTAGTTCGACAGTAATTAGCCTCTGTAATTTACTACAGACAGTCACTTCTTCTAACATATAAAGGCATACTGACGTCCTATGAAAGTAACTTATGATATCTTAAAACGAGAAAAAGTTTAGAAACCTTCCGCTATAAGAATGATGAATTTCTGATTTGCTTACCCGATAAAATACAAGCAACTAAAACAGCAGCGAAGCCACTGATGGGATTTTGTTCCACAATATGTTTATAAGGTGTTTCCAGTTTTGCAGTTTTGGAACTGTCATCTCGGATAGATGTTATATTTTCTTTCACTACCTTATTAGCATTGGCTCTTTGATCATCCTCAAAAAATAATTCTCTTGACTTCCTGCAGTTACATAGATCTAAGGAAATGCGACATTTCCAATAAAAGCTCAAATCTGAGCAGCTGGAGAAGAAACTACAAAAGATGAAGCCATTAACAATTTAATTCATAGTCATAAAGGAGCATAAGATGAAGCATTTAATTTCGTAATTTTTCATCTGCCTGTATAATCGCATAATATATTAATATCAGACCAAATAAAGATCATACACCGCTTAACAGCAGAAGAGTAGAAAAACTTACCAGCTGAACCAACGCAATTCCTCCAAAAAGCAAAACAAGTGCCAGCCACTGGAGCAGTGAAAGACGTCTTCGAAGGATGGTGACAGTAAAAAGTGCTGTTGTAAGAATCTTAAGCTGATAAGTCACCTAAAAAAAGAAACAGGACTAAATACTAACCGCTAAACTCAATAGAAGATACTTTCATCATAGCTTTTATGACGTTACCAATGAAATTAAAACTAAAAAAGTATCCCAGACAAGCTTTTGGGAAGTACAAACAGCAACAACGTTTTTAGCATTCTATTAAGCTATAACGCCACTATGTCAAACAGTCAAAGTACTCATTTAGAATGGAATGTTTCAAGAACGCACCATATAAGTTGCTGCAGGTAAATTAGATACAGCAACATAAAGCAGATTGTTTTGAATAACGTATATCACAGCTGGCACGCATACCTTCAAAGTATCAATCGGCTGTTTGATTATGTCCTCATACATTACTTTCAAACATCTGGAAACAAATTATGATACTGACAACGATCGATCAAATGCACTCCTTTAGGAATCCAAAAACATTGTTGGGATTTCTATGGAAATTTGGCAAAGCAAAATATACAACAGAACGCTAAGGATGAGTACACTGAAATTTATTAATAACAGAACTATTGTGCACCTCAGTTTCAACGTTAATGGGGATACATTGAAATCATCTTCAACATCTTTCACTTGATTAATTAATTTTTCACTGGCACAACAGCGCCTTACCTTCAAAAACCTTTCTCCGAAATAGTCTCTCGACGAAAACTACGGCGAACTTCATTTCTGTGAGTTAAACTTCCTCTGAAGGCCACTAGTAAATGCATCCCTGGTGACCAACATCAAAACAATAATAACAGTATCCAGTTAACCTTATCAAGCTCTTTTCCTGAATAGTAAGGAACAAGATGCAAACGATCAGTTTGACAACTTCTGCGAAAAAAATTGCCACTGTCGAGAGGAACATTTCACGCGGTCGGGTCCGCACATACCGCATAACTAGCACTTGTGATGCGTTTTGAACCACAAGAATTATCAAACTTACATACTTTATTGCTGTATCTGAAAATAAATACAACAACCAGTTTGGAAAAACATACGCAAACAACAGCTGAATTCCTTTATACGCAAGGTGCAACACTTCGTGAGGAACTATTAAATATTGATGTTTGGATATCAACTGTTTTCATACGTTCTTCCAAAAACGCTCAAGTAACTACCTTTTTTCTCTGCACTAACACATTTCTTGATCCAAATTCTTCCACTGTCTTGTCCCTCATCATCATCACAGGATGACATCCTTTCCTATCTGTAACAAAGCAAATTCAAATTTTTAGAAAATCTGATATCTTATAGTTTTCGTACTAAACTATATATTGGTCATACGGCTCTGTATAACGACACAGTTATGATTAACATTCATCGATGTAGCTAGTGCGGTTTAACTCCATAAAAGTGAAGTTCCAGATAGGGGAATCCCACAACTTCCTCACACATACTTACTGAAACCATTAAATCATGCTATTTTCCTACCAGTTAAATCACCAATGAATAGGGAAATTGAATTGACTGTTTAAACAAAGCAATGTTATCTGAACTTCCTGAAAACTCCTCAGAAATCTTATGTAGCTCCTCCTTAGCCGGTATGATCGCCATACTATGATGAGAAATTCCGTGTGTAAGAGGAAGTAATTCATTTTAATAACTAACTAATTTGTTACGCAATCATACTCAAACAGACAGTCATCAAAATCTCTACAGTATCAAACACCCCCACTGCTGTAAGAAAACCTCTGCAGTTTAGAGAAGAGATCTCTAAAACCGCTAAAAGTCTTCAATTTGATATCAAAGAAACAATGTGTTATCAGTTGCGGACATCGGAAGTTCTACTGATGCAAAAAGCGGTCGATCATACCGCCCACGGCAAAAAGACATTATACGCCCATAAATACCACATATGTACTTTTCATCGTGAAGGCGTGTCATTCGGTTACTGTGCAAAGCAAGACAGCCCATACGGCAACAACCCTCACCGAATCCATCCTTCCTGTTAAGTTGCTCTTCCATCAATTCATTAGCTTTATTTCTTCCACAGCGCAGTAACATCGGCATCTGTTCTTCTGGGTCACTTCCAAACTCCACCCTGTCTAAACAGAGAAATTCTCGGTTGTGAAAGAGCTGGACAGGCTTAGCTTTTCGGCTCTCTCTATCCGACGTATCGTCTCAAGCTCACGATAGTCAGATTCCGAAAATTATTTTTACAACCAGCGAAAATTTTCCCATTTTGCTACCGCAAATATAGTATTTGTGAGTCACTGGTTACTCAAATATTCTTGTAATATTTAAACTATCTCTAATTCTATTCAAAGTTAGGCTTCACAAACGAAAATTTGGGAAAGGCTCTACCCACGCTTGTTGAAAACATTACAAATATGGATCCATCCCTCAGCCGGCACAGATTTTTTAAGTGAAACACAGCGTGCGCAGAATTGGCCCACCGCTCCTAAGAATCACATGCCAGGGGCTAACGAGCTAGAATGGCGACAGTTAAGTCCCCAGAACGTAGGTTTCGTAAGAAGACCCTTCTCTTAGATAGATCTTTACAAAGTTAAACGAGCTTCATCTGCCCGAGTTTGGAATCAGAGTTGGCCTTCTAGAACGGTTGCTGGAAGCTAGAAAGTTCATCCTATCCGTGGATGCACTTTGTCTGACCCTTCAATTGAGATCTCTCTGGCATGGGATACCCTACCGGGGGCATGCGCGATCATCAGCATAGCTTGCAACCTCATTAGGGTGCGCAACTCTCTCCCCTCTCCCCCCGCCAAAAGAGGCTGTCCGTGAAGAAGACCTATAATTATATTACGACTGTGTAATACAGGCATCAGAAGATAGTCAAAGTATGACCAATGTTCATTTAAAAGCAACATTTGACAGTATACAACACAGGAAAAAACGACTTCACTTTATTTTAACTTGTTGAAATGTGTAATATTCCTAAAAAATTTCAAGAGTTATATAAATACATCCGATAGAAACATGTAACAACGATACAAACTACATAAATTTCAGACATCTCTATCAGGAATCACATAAATACATCCGATATATTGCTTCGTGTTCACGGCAGTCAAATTCCGGCACAAAGTTTACTTTCACAATTGATGAGAATCCCTCCGATAATTTTGGTTCCTCAAATAGACATTCATAAGTAACAGGCTGAGTTACTACGGAACGAATTTCTATTTTAATTTATGCTGAAATCCATGCCAATGCAAATCTACTTGCCGAGCACTTTTCACTTCCAGCAGATAGCGCTATATCTTAGCATGTCAGGGAATGAACTCCTTCTCCTTCCCAGAAACGAGAATTTATCTATTCGGCATGGAAATGATGTAAACTGTCCGAAATGCCTCCACAGTGATCAGAATTTACAGTCGATGAACGGAAAACGTACTTCAAATTTTTTTTGTAACCATCAAGTACCATTCGGCCAATTTCAATGTGTTTTTCGTCGGTATCAATAATAACACGATATTTGCAATTATGTGCTGCTTGTTCCAGTGTACAGTTAAATAAAAAGCACCGCGAAACAGCTCCAAATGATTTAGCAAGACTGATGTATCGTTTCCTTAAGTTTAATAAAATGATGCAAAGGGTAGCACGGAACAGTAAATGCACATGATACATATATGTTACAACTTTCAAATAAAAACTAGAAAGTTTGAAAGGTTAAAAAGTTTTCCCAATATATTTTTCGTTAGTATCAATAATAGTACGATATTTGCAATTATTTGCTGCAGATTTTCTTAAAATATGCTATGAAACATATCAGTCCCAAATTTCCTTAATTTATTGATTTTAATGAAGGCTTAAACATATTTTATGAAATCAGACGAACTTCAAGTGTACCTATCACAGGGCTGTTTAGGTTCGAAAATTCTATAGTTTTAAAGTAATAGCAACTATCCGCATCAGTAATATTTGATGATTTTGCAAATCTACTGCACAGTAAGGATAAACCGGAAAGGAGACAAATACAAGCGAGATGAAACCTCGATTCTTTGTCAGCATTAGTATTGTCAACAATAACGTTTTGCTGTCGTTTCAAAAGAATTTTTGCATTCTCAACACATTTCTGCCAGGTTTTCAGTGTGTCTCGATTCACTATACCATATCCGTGCTGTGCAGCTAATTTTTTAGCGAGACTACTTTTACCACATCCAGGGTAACCAACGAATATAAGCACTTCCAAACCATTACCTGGTATCGAAGTATTTTCTGAAATGATGTAAGGAAAATTATATCTTTAAAAAGAACCAAATTTGTGATGAATTCGTGCGAAATCAAGAATTCAGGTCATAGTAACATAACAGTGTAGCTTACAACTAAGGAGAAAGAAAAGCTAAGAATGGACAACATAATGACAGAACTATCAAGATATTAATGAAACCGTTGTTTGTGCAGCTAAATCCGTTATTTTACGTTAAAATACCTACTAAAGAATGATCTAGACGAGAGAAAAGGACAAACCTGGATCAAACAAGCTAACTTTCTCATCCAACAGGGATGACGGTAAAAAAGACGGTAATGTATACTCCTCAACGTCCACCTGGTTCAAGAAGTATTGTTCTGGTGTGAAGAATTTAATACCGAAATTCAAAGCAAATAAACGGTCAGCAGCTGAATGATCTTTTTTTTTCGAATCTTCAAATAAATTGGATACAACTTAATAGCTTCCATTCATAACTTTGTTTAACAGTTCACTAATATTATATGATGAAAACTGAGTAGAACAAGATTAATGCGTAACGAAATCAACAGTTACTTACACGATGAGTCCAACAATAAATGATACACGAGATAATGGAGAAACAGTGAAACTACGAGAAGATAAACGTGGAAAAAAGACAAACATTTGTCTGTATGCGGCCTGCAGCGTCACCAACATAAAATGATGATTGCCGATTGACTGAAATACCGCCATTTCCATGACTTTCAAAATAATTCCACATACCAATATATGGCTTACGGTACTGCAGTGTTCCCAGAGAAACAAATACCTCAATTTACTAAATCATATTTTTGCACTATTTCTTCATCAACACGATAAGCATGATGATTTGCCCACAGTACAAAATAACGGCATTGTAACTTATTGGAAGCAGTAGGCATAATGTTTTGTATTCCTTTTAAATCACTAGAAGTGATGACTAGAAATAGTTCGTAGTTTGCAACAATTCAGATTCTTTCCCTATCTCGACATTTAACAATTTAATGCATCAGAAACAGACAGATATTCTGCAAGAAACTAAAGTAAAAGTCAGCCGTCAGCTCTAACAAGTGAAGCACTTTAAGAAAACTGCTAACAACTGCAGATAAAAATTCGGTGATAATTCTCAGTTCCTGCTCATAATTTTTCATTTTTCGTTTTATCTTTTCCCTTTTCGTGTCTGCAGGATGAACTACATGAAAAAGAAAAAAAAAAAGCTCAAACACACTGAAAGGAAAACGAAAGGATGTAACGCCTTCATGACTGATTAGAGGTAGAAGATAAAAAAGCACGTTTTGAATTCATCAACAAAAAAAAGAAAAAAAGAAAAGACAACGCAAAACGAACAGCTTAGTTCTTTAACTGTAAACATACGGAGCATGTGTGTTCTACCACGGTTATGCCAAAGTCAGCCTATGCTACATCTACAGTCAGTCTTCTCTGACTCTAGCGATTACAGCAAATAATAAAGACAAGTCATTGAATTAAGTTATTCTAATAATAACTTGGATATTGTCTGTTGCAAGGTCAATAAATATTGAATCATCTGAAGACAAGCAAGTGGATTCGTGAAATTTGACTTCCATGTTCGAAACAGATTAAAGAGATACCTGTACGGGAATGTTGATTTCCTGACACACTTTTTCCATTTTTCTGCAGAAGGCATCACGATCTTGAGAGCCCTTCTATAAATAAGGAACTACAATCCGCAAACCCGCACGAAACTATAACAAAAACCCCTACAGTAATTCTACTTCTACATTGGCGAAGCTTTATCAATTGCGTTGTTTTTCCTTTGTTAAGTAGTAGTTAACAGTAAAATCATCCCGCTATGGTCGAAAAACTTTAACTGCATGTATTCCATTTTATTCATGAAGAAACAAGTTTGAATATGAATTACTTACTTGTATGCCTCGCTGATTCGTAAATATCACTACTTTGAAATCCTTCCCAACAATGTCGGTCAAGGCATGTGGTACAGATTCGCAGAAAAACTGCCAGTCATCCTCATTTTCAGGAAACGTTTTGCCAGATTTCGTTATTATCACAGTACCATCTCAAGCAAAATTACATCAATTAAAGAGACCCGACTACGCTTTACAATCTTTGCCATAATAAAGAACAAAGTGTGAAACATCATTTGTGTTGCATAAATCTAATTTTTTAAAACAAAATCCTAGAATGAACCAAACAATCATAATATTCCAACTGCATAAATTATGGCCGACTAATATGTCAAGAATTTAGTACCAACCCCAATAACTACATATATATATATATATATATATATATATATATATATATATATATATATATATATATACTACTACTACTA